GGCATTCGTATCTTATTGTTGGTTTGGGGTGGGGGCCATCGACTGTGGTTCCACTCCAGAAAGACTGGATTTGGTGTACGATTTCTGCCCTTTCCTGCCAGTTTTTTTTTTTTCCTGTCACTAAAAAACCTCTCCCTCTTAGTGGCTGTAGTACCCCGGGGTTTTCCCATGCTGGTTTTTTTCGTATGTTTTTGTCCCTTTAGTTGGTATGCCGGCAATTTAATTTAAGCACAGTCTTTCCTGACGGGAAAAGGTACACAGTTAGGGTGAAAAAGCTTACAGGGAAGGGAGTTTTGCATTTCCCCCTTTCATTGGGCATGGCTTTTCTAGGGGGGGTCAAGTTGCAGTCCCATCTATTTTTCCAGTTTTCCCTGCCAGCAGATCCCGGTGGAAATCCCCCACATCAGGGCTTAAAAGTTTCAGAGCAGAGTAGTCTAAGATTGACTTGTGCAAAGGGTTAGTGATGATGAAGGCACCCTGCTTCTGATTTATGGTGTTGATGTTAAATGATGCTCCTTCCCCCTCGTGCATGCCCCTCATTCTGTCACCCACGGCATGGGTATTCCCTCTTGTGGAGGGTGCTGCGTTGCTTGTGTTGTGGTCCTGTGGTTTTTTTTTAAAAATTCGTGCGCCATATCACCACGTAGTTTTTATCACACCCGGAAAAAAAGATTTGTTAAGGTTTTCTCTTTGATTCAGGTGTAAGGAATGATGTGTCCAATAAATTAAAATGTTTTCGATGATAAGAAGGCCTTTTCTCGGGTGCCGCTCTTTGAAGCTTTGATTTCCCGTTTATCGCCATCTACCTTTCAAGTCGTCTGCCCCTGCTCATTCAGCTGTTTCCTTGTTGAAAGATCATTTGCCAGGTACAAATATCTGTGGGCACTGTAATTTCGTGAGGACATTCGGTAGCCCTTGTTCAACCTCCGGTTTTCCACTACATACAGCTTCTTTCGGTATCTCATAAAGACACATAGTGTTACATTCAGGTATATCCCTGAAATAATTTAAACCTTCCTTTGATCTGCGAGTTTTATTTAATCTCAACAAATTATTTTTGATGAATGCAACCCGGGGGGACCAAGTGCATTCCAATGTCAAAACCTAACAACTTAACTAAGGCAAAACAACAATTCCATACAAAAAATGACAAAAAAATTAATCGTTTTTAAATGCTTTAGAGTATGGTCTTGGGGGTTTGCAGCGAAAGCTTCACGACCAGGAAAAATTACCTGTAAGAAAAATGCGGGTCTGGCGTCAAGACAAAACGTCGGGGGGAAAGACCTGGCGCCCATGCGGATATATACACTGGGGTGTATGTCTTTTTTGCGTATATTGCTGGAAGTGTTTTTTAATCCCTATTTTAGGAATTTAAACTTTTCTTGTTAGTGGTATAAGGTTTCGTGCACCACTGGGCCCGGAAACAACATTCCCCAGGGTTTTTAAGAGAAGGAGCAGAGATGCTGTGCTTTTCCTAAAAACCACAATTTTAAACACATCCCTTAAACTGGGCAACTCCCCTCAAAAAGGGAAGCAGCTAAGGTAGCCCCCATATTTAAGAAGGAAACAGAAACGAGGCATAAACTCGCCCGTGTCTCTGACAGTTTGGTGCAAAGTCATGGAGAAGATTTTTCGGGAAGAGAGTGGTCGAACCCCGGGAAAGGAACAAGAAAAAAATAAAAAACCACAGGGGTTCAGGGAAAGGGCAAATCTTGTATCACAAACCCTTGGAGTTTATGACAAGGAAACGAAGTAAGACACGGAGAGGGGGTGGGTAGATTGCGTTTTCCTAACTGAGGAAGGCCTTTGACACAGTTCCCCACAAGAGATTAGTGAGAGCGGGGATCGGGGCCACAAAAAGGGAGGTTATGCAAGGGGAAAGGGAATCCCTGACAGGGAGGCGCAACGAGTTAGGGTTTCGTGAAGAGGTACCCAAGTGGGCCTGTTACGGCGGGGTCCCACAGGGTCAGTTCTAGGCCCAGTGCTTTTTTGATATATGTGAACGACATGAGGGAAGGATAGACTCTGAAGTGTCCCCCGTTCGCAGATGACGTGAAGTTGATGAGAAAATTAAATCGGAGAGGATGGGCAGGACTGCAAAGAGACCTGGGGAGGGGACAGTGGGCCCGTAACTGGGTTTCGAATTCAATCCCCCAAAAACAAAGTCATGAAGATTGGGGAGGGGGAAAGAAGACCCAGACAGAGTATAGGGAAGGGGGACAAAAACTACAACCTCACTCAGGGAAAAAAAACCTTGGGGGGCCATAAAACCCAGCCATCACGGAGGCACAATCAACCAAATACCGCTGCAGCAAACGGGCGCCTGGGGAAAACCCGGAAAAGGTTCCCTACCTTAAAAGGAACGTTCAAGACAGTACCTTGTTGTTAGGGCCCCCGCGGAGTATGCAGCACCAGTCGGAACCCCCACCCGGTCAAACACGTCAAGAAAAATTAGAGAAAGTCAAGGTTTCAACAAGGCTGTCCCCGAGCTCAAGGGAATGTCGTACAGGAAAGGTTAAGGGAATCGGGCTGCGACATGGAGGACAAAGGGTAGGGGGGCTGTAAAGCATGAAGATATGCGGGGAAAAGCCAAGGTGGAAGAGATGGGTGTTCCAAAGGGGACACAGGGACAAGGGGTCACAAACTGGAAGCTGAAGCTCAGCAGTCACAGGGGTTAGGAATAATTCCCTTTAGCATAGGTTGTCAGCAAGTGGGGAAAAGCCCAGCAATGAAATGTGGAGGCAGGAACCTAATAGTTTTAAGAAAAGTATGACAAAGCTCAGGGAAACAGAGAGAGAGAGGACCCAGTAGCGATCAGTGAAGAGGCAGGGCAGCTGAGTCTCGACCCCTGCAACCCCAATTAGGTGAGTAAATTAGGGAGTACATACTTCAACCCCCCTTTAAAAAATTGGTGTCCTGTTTTTTATTTTGAGTGTTTTTGCCGTTTTTGCTTTTTTACTGCGTTTTAATCCAGACTCCCAGAACATGATTCTGTCACGCAAAAAAACATGCAGACATAATACGAAGGGTTCGTAAAATTCGTAATGCTATGCATATTAAGGGCTTTTTGGATATGCTCTTATTGTTTTTTTTTTGTACCTCTGTAGTGTGCCAAATTTTAATAAAAAATAAAATAAATTTAAATAAATAAATAAATAAAAAAATAAATGCTTCCCGAACGGGCCTTATCATTGATGACCCCCCCTGGAGCTTTTTGGGTTTTCGACAGAAGTTTCATCTTACCGGTCCACTCTTAAAAATTTAATATAAAGTATGCTAATACGGGTATTGCTTCACCCGAAAAAAAGGCCCGGATCCAAGCCACCCAAGATAAAATGACATGGTGGGTGAAGCTCTCGCTTCACACGGTGAGTGTCCCGGGGTTGATTCCAGACAAAGGGTTGAAACATTGGGCGTGTTTCCCTACACCTGTTTGTTCATATTCACCTATCAGAAAAAATGGGTACCTGGGTGTTAGTCGACTGGTGTGGGTCGCATCCAGGGACAAAAATTTAAACCTAATTTGCGAAATGCTAAGCATAACAAGCGGCTTTCTATATGGTAGTATGTCACTGATGTGGGCTGGGACTGTATACCTTGTACTTGTAGAAATAAAGATTTTAAATTATTATTCTTATATTATATATATATATATTATAATTTTAATATTTATATATATATTATAAATATTATATATATATATATTATATTATATATATATATATAGGCCGGGTCACAGACCGGGCCGCGGGGCGTTGACCCCCGGAACTCTCTCCAGGTAAACTCCAGGTCTCCAGGTAGTGTAAATTACCAAGGATAACCCAAAGTCCAGTTGGGTTTTTGGTTTCTATTGTGGTCCAGATTAAGATTTGCTACCAAAATATTTCCTCGCCAAAGAACTGAAATAGGGGGAGACTCAGCAAACTAAACTAAATGGAAACAAACCATTTTTTTTTACTTCATTTGGCTACCCTACGTTAAATTATACGCAGCTCACTATATAAAACCATTATGGAAGTTTAAAATTATATATGTATACCTGGAGAGAGTTCCGGGGTCAACGCCCCGAGGCCAAAATAAAAAACCAAATAAATTTTGGTAATGAAAAATAAAAAATGAAGATTACATTTTTTTAGTGACAATTCTAAATGTAACAAGGGGTAAAAAAAAAATTCGGAGAAGTAAATTCATAATTGTCGAATTATATTTTAAGAGAGCAGGAAGCAGCGTAAGTTTAGCTCAAAAGGTGTAATTATAATAGTAACATTTGGTGCCCCGTGACCTGATCGCTGAAGCTCTCGCTTTACACGGCGAAAGTCTACGTTCGATTTCCAGCGAGGGTAGAAACTTTGGGCGTGTTTGTTTATACTGGTTGTCTATGTTCACCCATCAGTAAAATGGGTACCTGGGAGTTAGTCGACTGGTGTGGGTCGCATCCTGGGACAAAGACCTAATTTGCCTGAAATGCTCAGCATAACAAGGGACTGTCTATTGAGTAGTATGTCATTGATGTCAGCTAGGCCTGTATATCATGCACATATACTTGTAGTAAATAAAGATATTATTATTATTTATCACTAGAGGGCGACCCACATCAGTTTAAAACTTTGCTTGTTTAGTTCCGCTTCCTCCCGTGTCCTGCACTCTTGAATTGTCTTTAATTATTAAACTATAAATAACTTTTTGGATATAAAATTAATAAAATATATTCGTTTATTATATATACATTAAGATGAGGCTTCTAAACTAAATAATATAATATTAGGGAATGTTTGAAGTAGTGAATGCAAAGTTTGAAACACAATGTTTGTTAAACCTGTATCACTTGTTGTTGTACGACGACCTCTGATATTAATGCACAATATAACAATGAGGAAGTTTCTTCAGGCACTATTACTATTTAAAATATATGAGGCATAATTAATGAATTATGAAAAGCTTATGGAAGAGAGAAAATAACATTTATGTTAGAAAGAATAATGTAAAAAGTTAGATGTGGCGGCCACTGGTAATGTGGGAATATTAGGAGTCCCAGTGAATGGCGGGAGAGGAGTAGCTCGGGGGAAATTTATAATGAATCGTTCAGCATCTCGAGGTATGTGAGACACTGATGATTAATGCTGACGAGTTATAGGTAGTTGAACACTCAAGATGGTGGTCACGTCACAAGTAGCTACAGATGTGGGGAAACAGCTGTTGTAATGGGCCAAAGTTTGAATGTTTGGGGTCTGGCTCAGCCTGGTCCTGAGGATTCTGTAGGGGGCGTTCTTAATCATCTGTATTTTCCCTTTTTTTTTTTTTAACCCCCATATTATTCACATGTGAGAGCATCCCAAATCGAATCCTGTATGAGGCCGGGCCAGACATGAGCAGGTCTTGACATCTACTATTTCTGTTATCTAGCAGTAAATAAACACAGGAGTACATGTTAAGATATTGTTCAGTTTAAACGAACGTCTCTTGTCCTCCCAGTGACTATTTATTTAGGTACAGATACACATAAGTACAGTTATCATACACAGTAACATATGCAATAAGATCACAGTAAACAGGTGATATCACAATATGCAAAATAACCAGTGTGGAAAAAGTCAATTTCCAAGCAGTTTCGTGATTTCTCAATATCAAGGAATTGTTCCTTGATGATATGAGAAATCACGAATGTACTTGGAAATTCATTATTTTTTCACAGTGGCTATTTTGCATATGGTAACATAATGCAAATTACTAAAGGTAACCCAGAAAAATCTGATTTATTTCATTGGGGCCTTTGATAAAGTATTATGAACTGTAGTATACTGTCACTTGTGTTGGTTCAGTGTAGAAGTTTATTGTTGTAGGTTGCATCCTGGGTGAGGTCCTGAAAAATCTCTATGGAATCTAGATGTATTTTAGTCGCTGCACGATCTGAAAAAGATATCCTCGTATTCGATAACCCCAGGCCCCTGTGCCTCACTATACCTGACGAATAGTGCAGTATGGCATACGTTAATAATGCAATTAAACATTAGTATTAAGGAACCAAACTAAATCAGAAGCTACATTCATGAGTTGTCACATGAAAATTTAACATTTAAATTTTAATAAAAACTGTAAATTGGGAGATTCTCACATCACACATAGTTCAACCTTTCAGAGATGCCATTATCTTAAAATAAACATATTAAAGTTAAAGGCTTGGTTGGTAATGCACTTGGCTCACACATTGAGGTCCGTGGTTCGATCCCTTGTATGGGTGGAAACATCAGGGCCTGCTTCCTTAAGGCACTTGCTGTTACTGTTCACCTAGCAGTAAGTAGGTACCTGGGTATTAGTCAAGTGGTGTGGGTTGCATCCTGGGGATAAAATTACCCTAAGTTCCCAGAAATGCTCTGCTTTCTGTATAGTATGTTATTGATGTCAGTATATGTTGCATTGTGTACTTAGGACTTAGCCCTGATTGTAATATTATTATTACTAAAGTTATGAACATTGAAGAGTTGAAGCTAATCAGATGTGACACTCAGAAATTATTACATGAAAATCAGTATTTCAACTTCATCAATTTCATCCAAACAAAGCAAACCAAACCTACACAGGACAAAAATCAATCCAAAATTTTCTATATTAACTAGCTTTTAAGAAAGTAAGCACAGTAAACAACTTTTATGTAAGATTAGTGTACACATCATACAGATTTTCGATAATAAGCTTGAGGGCACATTTTATAGGCACATAAAAGCACATGATATTGATTAACCTTGAATAACCAATTAATGTCAAACTGACTTATTACAGAATGGATATAAATGCAGTGGAAAACGTACAAAGGAGGATGACAAAGTTGATCCCATGTATCAGAAATCTTCCCCATGAGGATAGACTGAGAGCCCTGAATCTGCACTCTAGAAAGGCATAGAATTAGGGGGGATGTGATTGAAGTGTATAAATAGAATACAGGAATAAATAAAGCGTGCTAAAAATATCTAGCCAAGACAGGACTCGCAGCAATGGTTTCAAGTTGTAAAAATTCAGATTCAGGAAGGATATAGGAAAGCACTGGTTTGGTAATAGAGTTGTGGATGAGTGGAACAAATTCCCGAGTACCGTCGTAGAAGCTAAAACGTTGTGTAGTTTTAAAGATAGGTTGGATAAATACATGAGTGGGTGTGGGTTGGACCTGACTAGCTTGTGCTAATAGGTCTGATGCCGTGCTCCTTTAAATGGATGTTATCCGGACCTGACCAGGTTGGGTCAGTGGCATAAGCCGGTAGGTGACTTGGACCTGCCTCGTATGGGCCAGTAGGCCTGCTGCAGTATTCCTTCTTTCTTACGTTCTTTGTCTCTTCTTATCAGAAATAAGAACATTTCTCCAATCATTTCCATTGGCCTCAAAAAAGTATACATCTATATATGTGGGAATCAGTGAAAGGGTGAAAGGATATTTGCAGTTTGGAGGGGCATCTGAACTGTAGAATCTGTGTGCCACTGGCAAGACAGTGATGGTGAAAGTGCTTCTTCCTTGTTGGGTCACTCTGCCTCTGTGGGAGATGGTCGGTGTACTAAATAATAATTATTATTTTTACTTATTATTATTATTAACTAGCCGTATACAGTAGTTTCATTTAAAATACGCTCATTGGATTTCCCAGGCCCAAATCAGTTTCCTTATCCATATTTCTTAGTTATAAATGTATATAAAGTAGTTTAGAGTTACAGTGGAACCTCAAATTTCGAACTTAATCCATTCCAGGAGCTAGTTCTAAAGTTGAAAAGTTTGAAAGGTGAAGCAATATTTCCCATAAGAAATAATGGAAATACAATTAATCCGTTCCAGAAACCCAAAATTATTCACAAAAAATACATTTTATAGATAGTATTACATTATAGTTTTACATACACACAACACATATAGTGTACAATTATTAATAAATTTAAATAAACATATAAAATAACATTTTTACTTACCTTTATTGAAGATTGGTGATGGCATCTGGAAGATAGGGAGGAGGAGAGAGGGAGTTGGGGTTAGTGTTTGGGAGGGGAATCCCCCTCCATAAGGACTTAAGGTATCAAAGCCCTCTCTGGGGTTACTTCCCTTCTCTGTCTTTTAATGCCACTAGGACCAGCTTGAGAGTCACGGGACCCCTGTCTCACAAAATAACTGTCAAAAGTCCTCTGTTTCTGGTGCCTCTTTAAGATTTCCCTAAAATGGGACATCGTTCTGTCACTGAACTTGTTGCAAAGATGGCTTGTTTCAGCTTACTCAGGGTGGTACTTCTCAACAAACATTTGGACATCATTCCACTTGGCGCAGATCTCCTTAATCTTTGAACTGGCATGCAACTTCCTTGCCTTTTCACAAATAATCATCTGAAACGCTATCACCTGCCATCTCTTTATCCTTGATCCACACCAGCAACAACTCAACTTGATCGATTGTCTGTAGTCTTTTTTTGGTTAGCATATCAACACCTTTCGCAACATCAGCTTCCTTGATTTGTTCTTTCTTTGCCAGGATAGAAGTGATGGTTGACTTGTTTTTCCCGTACATCCTGGCAAGCTCAACAAGTCGCACACTACTCTCATACTTCTGTATTATTTCCTTCTTCACATCTATAGTGTTTCTCACTTTCTTTACCACAGGGGTACCACTAGCAAGTTTCTTTGGGCCCATGGTAGCTTATTTCACAGTCCCAAAAGCACTAAACACAATGAATTAATCGTAAAATGTTTGAATGAGACCACAGGTTAGTGTTCACTCAAGCATAATAGGGGCAAAGTTGGTTCGAAAAAAGCGGTCGATTTTCGAAGAGTTCGATAAGCGATACGTTCGAAATTTGAGGTTTCACTGTATTTAGAAAGATATTGTTAATAACTCAAGTGGTGCTGGGCTTTCTTGATCACATAAGTTCAAATTTATACAATATATAACATGGAAAAATAAACACAGAAGCAGTATAATGTGATTATTGACATTTCACCCACACAGTGGGCTTTATCATGTCACAAACAGATCTACCTGGTTGAAAAGTATGTGAGTATGTATTTACAGGATGGAATCAGGTGGAGAATGCTGGGTAGGTTGGATCTGAACCTGCATGTGACAGTTTGTCTGAGTAGGGTATTAGAGGCTAGAACAGGTTCAGATCCATCCTACCCAGCATTCTCCACCTGACTTCATCCTATAAATACTCATTGGAGCGGAGGAGAGAGAGATATACATGATAATATACTGTATACCTGGAAAGTACTTGAGGGCCTGGTCCCAAATCAGCACACTGCCATAACTTACTGGAGTGAGAGACATAGGAAGAAGTGTAAAATAGACCCAGTGAGGAGCAGGGGTGCAGTGGGGACAATAAGGGAACACTGTATCAACATCCGGGGTCCCAGACTATTCAACAACTTACCAGAAGATACCAGAAACACAGCTGGAACAAGTGTAGAAGCCTTCAAGAGGAAACTGGACAAGTATCTTCACCAGGTGCCAGATCTACCAAGCTGTGATGGATATGTGGGGCAGCTGGCCTCCAGCAGCAACTGCCTGGTTGACCAGGCAAGCACCAGATGAGCCTGGCCCATGTGCGGGCTCAGGGAGTAGAGAGGCTCTTGAAGCTCTTCAAAGGTATATCAGAGGTATTCCCAGATTGATTTGGAACACTCGTCAGTAGTCCAGTTAAACTGCCCTTTCTTGCTGCTGTATGGTCTGTATGACAACAGCTCCCTGGGATTCCAAAATCATTCAACAGCTGCCTACTCTTATTCTGTTTTTGGTGGTATGCTTACAGTATAGGTGATATCCATGGAGCTCCAACCCCAGAAATGTTTTGTTAGAAAGCACATGTCTGCATAAGGGCCCCAGTGGGCCCAGAGTTTCCTTCACCTCCCCAGTACTATAAATAGATCCTGGTGCAGGGGTCCCTATAATGAGTGCAAGATGTACAATAAACTCTGTTGGGGCCAAAGAGGTGAATGTATTAGTGTGAATTTGGTATGCCATATTCCATGTGGGTCCTTCCTGGGGCCTTTATGCAGTCATAAGTTTTCTAATCAAAATGCAGAGCAATAATTTTTCAAGAAACATTTTTTCAACTGACTTGTGGATAATAGCTGACATGTTTATCTTTTATTTATCAAGTTAATTAGAAGAAAAAATAAACAGCCCTTCTCCATCTTCAGTAGTGTTACTTGATAAATTCTGCTTCTTGGCTAAAACTGTCAAATAACCATTTACAGGCATATCTGAATACTACTGTATAGTGTTCCTTTCAGGTTCTAGAACAAACTCATACCAGTTTGAAGATGTGAAAGAGGCATGCAGGCGAGTACAAAAAAACGAGTTAAGTATCGAAGAGGCTGTTAAACAGTATGGAATACCTAGGAGCACCTTTTTGTGTAACTTGAAAAAGATGTGGAAGTACAGTAAACAACACAAAGATAAAAATGTGGATAAAAATAGAAAGACCAAATCTAAAGAGAAGAATGGGTAAGGAGCTAATGATAAGCCCAGAGTAAATGAGTAATGTACAGTATTACCATTCATAACCTTATTTTAAACTCTAATTACAGTTAAAACAAGATTTTAATCATGATGTTAGCATGTTTTGGTTGCTTATATGTTGTACTGTAGTACTGTACCTTACTGTGAACATTCAACAATATTCTGCTGTACTAAGCTTTGTGACTTCTACTTTCTGGGATGTTATACAGTACTGTGTTTCTGTTATACAGTTCTGTGTTTCAGATTCAGATTTCTCAACAGTAAAACTTTGCTATTCACAACTTTTGAATTCAATTAATTTGACTTTGTGGTTCATAGTCTCTCAGATTTAATTGAATGTACCTGGATCACTCACTGTGGGTCCCTCTAGTTAGTCAGAATGTTAGTACAGTGGACCCCCGGTTAACGATATTTTTTCACTCCAGAAGTATGTTCAGGTGCCAGTACTGACCGAATTTGTTCCCATAAGGAATATTGTGAAGTAGATTAGTCCATTTCAGACCCCCAAACATACACGTACAAACGCACTTACATAAATACACTTACATAATTGGTCGCATTCGGAGGTGATCGTTATGCGGGGGTCCACTGTATTTTTGTGAAAGTTCTTGCTGCTTGCACTTACTGTACCATTTATTAACCAAACACATATTAATACAGGTCAGCCATCACTAATCCAGCATCACTGGAACTTGTAGTGTGCCCGATTAGTAAGTTTGCCGGATTACAGAGTGGTTAGGTTAGAATACACTTAATGAACTTATCAATAGACTCTTTCTGCTACATTTTCCTCATTTTCATCACTGCTTTCTCCTCCACTGGCTTGCTGCTCTGGATTTACAACCATCTGCACAATTTATGAGTCAGTATAATGATGAAATTTGAATCAGTATAATGACGAAATTTGAAATAATGCTAGCCGAAATTAGTGCCAGGTTACTGATGGAACCGGATAACTGATTGCCAGATTAGTGATGGCCGACCTGTAGCATTATACTTTACTGAAATGATTGGAAAAGGTGCCCACACACCATAGGTGTTCAATATAGATGAATAATGTGCCTCTCAATGGTGGTGCCTTGTTACTAATGAGGGGCTCTTGATCTTAGAAATTGGGCTTATTTTCCCCTTCCTTGTATTGAATCTGGATGCTTTCCATTTCCCAGGCACTATATGATCCCCACAGATTTAACACTTCATCCTGATTAAAACAAAATTAGGATCAACCTTGAACAAATTTATGAGTTGAAACACAGATTCATAATGATCTGTTCTTACCTTACATTTACTGACCTTTTCATTAAGGCATCTGACATGGTAAGGACCCACATAGGAAATTTAACCCTTTCAGGGTCGAGAGGCCCTCTACTCAACTTGTGCTCAGGGTTGAAAATTTAAAAAAAAAAAAAAAAAAAAAAAAATTTTTCTTATGAAATGATAGAGAATCTTTTCCCGATCATAATGACACCAAAAGTATGAAATTTGATGGAAAACTTACAAAATTATACTCTCGTGAAGTTAGCGGTCTCGATGATGTTTACGCATCGGCGATTTCGCCAACTTTGAGCCCTATTTTCGGCCAATTTCAGTGTACTAGTAGACAAAAATCATATCTATTTCGCTAGAACTCCATTTTTTTCTATCGATTGAGTACAAGAAACCACCCATTTACCAATTTCAACTATCCAATAAAGTGGTCAGAAATTGGCAATTTTGCCAATTTCACACAAATTTCAGAAGATGCCAATTTCCAAGTAGGGTCCAGAATAAGCAAAACAGACATTCCTGGCACTAAAATAACATTTTCTCTGTTCATTAGTCACGTCTCCAGGCCCCTCATACATCTCTTGCTTTCCACTTTTGAATTTTTATTCTCACAAAAAATAGAAGATTTACTGTTATGCAGACTACTGCATTAGTGTAGAAATGGTGTAAATAATATCAGTGCACTTGTGAAAGAATATTAGACTCCAGTTAACGTGTATTGGATGCTTGGCATGATTTGTTTCCTTTTGAAATTTGGTAAAAATCGAACATTTCTGCTACTTTGAGCTCAATTTCAAGGTACTTTTCATTATGAAACCAATCAAAATCATCTCAATTTCTGTAATATGTCTTCCATTCTATAAAATGAGACCAGGAAAACTAGAATACAACCATAAATACCATACGAAAATACACTGCAAAGTCGCTGTTTTAAATAAAAAAAAGTTTTTTTTCTCATTATGCACTGTGTGCTGCAGGATTTTTTTTTTATACTGTGCACACTGACCACATAGACCCATTCTTTCATATGTATGCCTACCAGCTTTCTCTCACTAGATTTGAAGACGCTAGAATATAGGCGTTCTAGTTCATCAATAACCCTGGTGTGTAAGCCGTACTGGTACGTCGGAAACCCTGAGAGGGTTAAGAAAATAGCAGCACCATGGTACTGGAGGTAAAGTTTTCTCATGGATTGAGGCGTGACTGACTCATAGGCAGCAAAATGCTTGCATGAATGGAGTGAAGTCTCAATGGCCTGTGATGGAGGTTAAACAAGCTCAGATTCGAGGTCAGTGCATCAAAATCAGTTTAAAGCCAGTTTGATTTTTGAACTGGATAAGAAGTTAGATTTTGTAAGCTAGTGCTTTGCGTATTTCTGAAGGCACTTGTTCCATTGTTGAATTATTAGTGATGCATTGTTGTAATGTACTGTACGTGTACATGTATATGGTGTGTAAGTTTCAACTTAAAATACTCTCTTTGCTAAACTGTTGTCTCCTAAGAACAAAGGACCATTCTAGCAGGCCTACAGGGCCTTTAATATAGGTCATACTATCATACACAACTATTGATAAACCATTGCTTCTTAGAAACAAAGGAGCACTATACTAGGCCTTCTGTCCAATGCTATACAGGTCTCCCTCAACATTCGCGTTTTCAACTTTCGCGGGCTTCACACATTCCCGAATTCCTAACCGCCAAATTCCCAGGCGCCAAATCACATTTAAGTTTCCCGCTACCCGCTAGTCCCTACTACCCTCCCTCTGAGCCCCGCAACTGGCAGCCAGCCCTCCCACCACTCAGTGTGGTGAGTGTTTTGTTTGTTCATTATTTGCTATTAAACTGCAGTATAAATAATGTCAACCCATTCATGACTGCATATTGGAATGGCCATTCGGACAGGTATTGAACAGTGACATCATGTGTTTACTCTTGAACACGGCAAAGAATCAACATTTCTGCTACTACTACTACTACTACTAATAATAATAATAACAATATAGAATTAAAGAAGGAAATTGTACAAAATACGAGGGTTGAAGCAGTGGTGGAGGAAGTGGTTGAGGCATCATCAGTCAGTATGGTCTTTTTTATGCTGGAGTGAGCAGTAGTCTGTGCTCTTCCAAACATTTCACAATAATTCATTGTGTTTGGTACTTGTAGATTGAGTGCTACTGGAGTGGTTGAGTCTGTGGTTGAGGCACTGGTTGCAGCAGTGGTTGAGGCAGTGGTTGATGCAGTGCTTGAGACATTGGTTGAGGCAGTGGGTGAGGCAGCAGTTGAAGCAGTGGTATTTAATAACATTATGTTATTAATGATAATAATACATATTAATAACATTATTATTAACATGTATGTTATTAAATACCACTGCCTCAACCACTGCCTCAACTGCTGCCTCAACCGCTGCCTCAACCGCTGCCTCAACTGCTGCCTCAACTGCTGCCTCAACCACTGCCTCAACCACTGCCTCTACCACTGCAATTACACTCAATCTACAAGCACCAAACACAATGAATTATTGTGAAATGTTTGGAAGAGCGCAGAGGCTAATGCTCACTCCTGCATAAACAAAGCCACACTGACTGACGATGCCTCAACCACTTCCTCCACCACTGCTTCAACCCTTGTATTTTTGTACAATTTCCTTCTTCAGTTCTATCGTATTAATAATAATAATAATAATACGATAGAATTGAAGAAGGAAATTGTACAAAAATACAAGGGTTGAAGCAGTGGTGGAGGAAGTGGCTGAGGCATCGTCAGTCAGTGTGGCTTTGTTTATGCTGGAGTGAGCATTAGCCTCCACGCTCTTCTAAACATTTCACAATAATTCATTGTGTTTGGTGCTTGTAGATTGAGTGCAACTGCTACATAATTAACTGTGGGCCTAAAGAAACTTGCTAGTGCCAGCCCTTTGGTAAAGAAATTGAGAAACAATAGAATTGAAGAAAGAAATTGTTCCAAAATATGTGCAGTGCACCACAGTGGTTGAGGCAGTAGTATTTAATGACATACATGTTAATTAAACCATAACATGTATGTATTTAGCACAATATTTTATGATGTTTTCATGTATTTTATGACTGTTCATGGTTAAACAAGTTAAGGAAGCAGTATTGTATTGTATTTCCCTAAAATATATTGGGGCACCAAACATTCGTGATTTTTCAACATTCGCAAGGCTCTTGATCCCCTAACCCTCGCAAATGTTGAGGGAGACCTGTATAGTTTTTGATGCTGGTGAGGGGCTCTTGATCTATGGAATTGGATATGTGCTCCAGTTCCCTGAATTAAGCCCAAATACCTTCCACATCCCCCCACAGGCGCTGTATAATCCTACGGGTTTAGTGCTTCCCCCTTGATTATAATAATAATAATATGTATATAGTTTTTACTTTTTGCAACCATTTTTTTTTCCCCAGTTTTATGTCAAGAAGTGTGGAATGTGTAAGTCTTTCAAAATATTCCTGTTTTACATTTCTAACTGGGTTTGTTTTATGTGATTTTGCTTTATATACCAAGGGCCTGAATGCATCTATCTCATAAAGTAAGGAACCCCTGTTCTGCAGTATGTATTAAGGCAGAATATGTGTACACAAATTAGAGCACTGGGGTCAGGTAGTATTTTTTGGGGGGTAGGGGAGGATTGATAATAACTGTAGAAAAGTTATCTTAGCGTATTCTCGATGACTGCCAGTTTGCATGTACATTACAAAATTTACACTTATGAGGGGGTTTCATTATTCATAGGGGTTACTAGAGGTTACCACACATACAAAAATCTCTTAATATCATTGACATTTCCCACCAACAGCAGCACACTACTCAGTGGCCCTGATTTTAGCTAAACTTTGCATTCTATTAGAAAATATTAATTATACTTATGTATACAGTATTATTGATGTATCCATTACTTTATATGAAATGAAATTGGGTATCTATTGTATGTTTACATGTTAACTCTTGCACACTAGCTGACTTGCTATGGAAGGGACTGCAAAGTGCCTATGAAATCCTAAGATTATATGCAAGGCACTCGTTAGGAAGGACAGTATTGAGCATACGATAATCATGTTCCACGGATGCCGAAACTAAGAATCTTACCATTGGCCACTGAATAATCCTATTTTCTTAACCCTTTCAGGGTTGAGAGGCCCTCTCCTAAACTTGTTCTCAGGGTTGAAAATTTTTTGGCAAAAAAAATTATTTTTTCTTATGAAGTGATAGAGAATCTTTTCCGAACATAATGACACCAAAAGTATGAAATTTGATGGAAAACTTACGGAATTATGCTCTTGCGAAGTTAGCGGTCTCGACGATGTTTATGCATTGGCGATTTCGCCTACTTTGAGCCCTGTTTTTGGCCAATTCCAGTGTACTAGTCGACAAAAATCAACTATTTCGCTAGAACTCCATTTTTTCTATCGAATGAGTACAAGAAACCACCCATTTACCGATTTCAACTATCCAATAAAGTGGTCAGAAATTGGCAATTTTGCCAATTTCACACAAATTTCAGAAGATGCCAATTTCCAAATAGAGTCCAGAATAAACAAGGCAGACATTCCTGGCACTAAAATAACATTTTCTCTGTTCATTAGTCACATCCCCAGGCCCCTCTTACAATTCTTTTGCTTTCCACTTTGAATTTTTATTCTCGCAAAAAAATAGAATATTTATTGTTATGCAGACTACTGCATTAGTGTAGAAATGGTATAAATAATATCGGCTCACTTGTGAAAGAATATTAGACTCGCCAATTGACGTGTATTGGACGTATGGCATGATTTGTCTACTTTTGAACTTTGGCAAAAATCGAACATTTCTGCTACTTTGAGCTCAATTTCAAGGTACTTTTCATTGTGAAACCAATCAAAATCATCTCAATTTCTGTGATATGTCTTCCATTCTATAAAGTGAGACCAGGAAAACTAGAACACAACCATAAATACCATACAAAAATACACTGCAAAGTTGCTGTTTTAAACCAAAAACACGGTCAAAGTTTTTTTTTTTTCTCATTATGCACTGTGTGCTGCAGGATTTTTTTTTTTACTGTGCACACTGACCATGCAGACCCATTCTTTCATATGTAGGCCTACCAGCTTTCTCTCGCTGGATCTGAAGGCGCTAAAATTTACTCATACTAGTATGTACTAGTGCGTAAGACGTACTAGTACGTCAGAAACCCTGAAAGGGTTAATTGAATATTTGATTCTAAGGCTTTTGTCTATTTAGCCATCTTGTATATTTCTTTCCCCTCCATTATTTATAATCTTTTTTTTTTTTTTTTCATCTTCTGTAAGTGAGTGCTTTCTTAAAGTTAAAAATGATTTGGTGCTCTTCTTGCAATGTGGCCATAGCATTCTGTGCATGTGTCTTGCATCTTCTAGTAGTAATTGCCATTTTGCATTTATTAATTCAACACCTGAGATCTTTTGATTGCATTTTTACTTAAGAAAACTATTAAGAATATAGTGGTCAAGTTTTTTGTTTATTAGGTATTGCTTGCAGTGTAACAAGTCTTGAAAATATTCATTTGCATGTTTAAATTCTATCTAGCAAGCTTATAATATTCCCATGCATTTTAATTGTTTTTCATTAGCAGCTTCATATTGGTTGTTTTTAATTGTATATACCTAATGTTCAAAGGAGTAATTAAGTATTATTTTTGGAAATTATCATCCTTAATATTGTTTTTTTTAAAAGGAAGACTTGTTTAATCTCCATTGGTTTAATAATGCATTATGAGCCATGAATAAAAACTTTTGTTGCATAGTTTTATTAAACAGTTACATCATCAAACTAATTCTTTGTTTCCCAATGATTGAAATTAATTAATATGTATAAATTACAAGTCATTTAACTTTTTCTTGCAATATAGTATGTTAGCTGCTCTTAATTTTTTGAGTGTTTCAAGTATATTTAATGCACACTACTCATTACATACAATCTCATTCACTATACAAAGAAAGATCCTTTTTTTTTTTCATGTTTTATTTCAGGCATAAAATGAGTGCAGAAACTAGCAAGAATGTAAAAGGGTTGTGTTGCTTCTGCAATGTTGGCCATGAACAAGAGCTCCAGCTTGGAAAACTGTATACCTTCAATAACATTTCAGTACATTATTATTGTCTGGTAAGTTAAACATGCACATTTGTTAATTAATGGCATCATCTTATATATTTTTGAGAATTAAGAAATTAAAAACAAAATTTGCTTGGTTATTTCGAAGGTATCAAGAGCATAACCCCATTTATCCCCTTGTTTAATTTATCATTTATAGTTTTCAGTTACTTTCATTTAACAGATATGTAGCATGGATAATAATAGGGTTCTTATTTTTTAGTTGTTTTCTAGTGGGTTACCTCAAAATGGTGATGATGATGAAGGCATCATGGGATTTTTGCCCCAGGACATAGAAAAGGAGATTCAGCGAGGAAGAAAGTTGGTAAGTTCATAGAATGTTGTAATACTGAAGAATAAGTGTATATGTATAATAAACCCGGAATTAATGAACTTCTAAAACACGGGAGGAAATCTGTTTGGTCAGTTGATTTGGAAATGAAGTACAGAGTTCATTGGTCACAGATTTATTCAGTAGTGTTACAGTCACAGCAAAGCAATCTGTAAACACCTTACCTGTTTCTTCCTTGTTAGTTTGTTAAATTGAACTCTGATCAAGCATTGTAAGAAATGTAATAAATTATTAATCTACAAAGATTGTTTTCATTAATACATCAATGAATTGTTAACACATGCAGGTACCATTTGCATTTTGCTGTGAATAGTGTTATAAATGACTGTATAAGATTTCACAGAAAGCGGAGGCAATTGTATCCTGTGGATCCATTTTCAATTTTGCTTTTCCTTATGGAAATATATTGTAAGCAATTTTGCCACATAATCCTTTAAAGATATAAAAACTTTGATATAGTATATTGTTTATAAATGCTTTCATAAAAAACTAATTAAATTATTGAATTAATAGTACATAGTTTGAATTTAAAAATTTTAAGATGAAATTGCAGTGCATTTGACATTTTTTCAGACTTGCTGCTATTGCTTCAAGAGAGGTGCAACAGTTGGCTGCTCCACAAAGAAGTGTCGGAGAACTTATCATTACTTATGTGGCTTAGAGCATTATGCTATTGGCAAATTTGCTAATGATTTCAGGTCAGTGACTTGCAACATATTCATGTTCCTTAACCCTTTCAGGGTTGGAACCCCCTGATTTTGAACTTGCTCTCAGGGTCAGATAATTTAAAAACAAAAATTATTTTTTCTTATGGAACATTAGAGAATCTTTTTCTGAAGGTATTGAAACTAAAAGTACGAAATTTGATGGAAAACTCATGGAATTGCATTCTCACAAAGTTAGCAGTCTTGGGGATAGTATTTACTTATCGGTGATTTTGCCCACTTTGAGCCCTATTTTCAGCCAATTCCATTATTCCAGTCGACCAAATTCATAGCTGTTTCGCTAGTATTCCTTCTATCGATTGAGTACAAGCAACTTCCTATTTACCTATTTAACCTACCCAATAAAGTGATCAGGAATTGGTAATTTGGCCAAGTTCACACAAAATAAAAAAATTTCCAATTTCAAAATTTTTTTCTTTAACACATCGGCCATTTCCAACCGAGGCAGGGTGACCCAAAAAGAAAGAAAGATGCCTTCATCACCATTCAACACTTTCACCTTCACTCATACATAATCACTGTCTTTGCAGAGGTGCTCAGATATGATAGTTTGGAAGTCCCTCCAAACTGTCAATATCTCAAACCCCTCCTTTAAAGTGCAGGCATTGTACTTCCCATTTCCAGGACTCAAGTTCGGCTAACCGGTTTCCCTGAATCCCTTCACAAAATATTACCCTGCTCACACTCCGACATCTTGTCAGGTCCCAAAAACTATTCGTCTCCATTCACTCCTATCTAACACGCTCACGTATGCTTGCTGGAAGTCCAAGCCTCTCGCCAACAAAACCACCTTTACCCCCTCCCTCCAACCTTTTCGAGGATGACCCCTACCCCACCTTCCTTCCCCTACAGATTTATGCGCACTCCAAGTCATTCTACTTTGTTCCACTCTAAATGACCAAACCTCCTCAACAACCCCTCTTCAGCCCTCTCACTAATACTTTTAGTAACTCCACACCTAATTTCCACACTCCAAATTCTCTGCATAATATTTACACCACACATTGCCCTTAGGATATCTCTACTGCCTTCAGCCCCCTCCTCGCTGCAGCATTTACAACCCAAGCTTTACACCCATTCAAGAGTGTTGGTACCACTATACTTTCATACATTCCCTTCTTTGCCTCCATGGATAATGTTTTCATCTCCAAAGGTACCTCAGTGCACCACTCACCTTTTTTCCTTCATCAATTCTATGGTTAACCTCATCTTTCATAAACCCATCTACTGACAAGTCAACTCCCAAATATCTGAAAACATTCACTTCTTCCATACTCCCTCTCTCCAATGTGATATTCAATTTTTCTTTATCTAAATCGTTTGATACCCTCATCACATTACTCTTATCTATGTTCACTTTCAACTTTCTACCTTTACACACCCTCCAAAACTCATCCACTAACCTTTGCAACTTTTCTTTAGAATTTCCCAAAAGCACAGTATCATCAGCAAAAAGTAGCTGTGTCAACTCCCATTTTGTATTTGAATCCCCATAATTTAATCCCATCCCTCTCCCCAGCACCCTAGCATTCACTTCTTTTACAACCCCATCTATAAATACAGTGGTCCCTCAATAATCGACCGGCCTGAAAGTCGACCATTTCGGAAATCAACCGGTTTTTTCGACAAAATATTGACTCGGAAATTGACCGAAATTCGTTTATCGACCCGTCTCGACCCGTCGTCCCAGACACGTATGCACGAGGTAAGCAGGCCTCGACCCGCCTCAGCCTTCCTTCCCAGCCAGTGTGCCATTGTTTACTAGTTAGCGGCGGTCCTCTCACGTGCTCCAGTGAAATATTTCATAATATTTCATTTATTTTAGTGCTTGCAAGTTATTTAAGTGCTAAATAAGCTACCATGGCTCCAAAGAAAGCTCCTAGTGCCAAACCTTTGGTAAAGAAGGTGAGAAATACCATTGAATTTAAGAAAAACATCATTGAACAATATGATAGTGGCATACGTGTGGGCGAACTGGCGAGGATGTATAACAAAAATCATTCAACCATATCTTCCATCATAGCCATGAGAAAGGAAATCAAGGATGCTGTTGTTGCAAAGGGGGTAAATATGCTGACAAAAATGAGATCACCAGTACTGGAAGAGGTTGAGAAGTTATTATTGGTGTGGATAAATGAGAAACAATTAGCAGGAGACAGTCTTATGACCTCGATTATTTGTGAAAAGGCTAGGCAGTTGCATGAAGATTTGGTAAATAAATTGCCTGCAAATAGTGGTGAAGTGAGTGATTTTAAGGCCAGCAAAGGCTGGTTTGAGAGATTTAAGAAGCGTATTGGCATACACAGTGTGGTAAGGCATGGTGAGGCTGCCAGTTTGGACCACAAGGCGGCTGAAAAATATGTGCATGAATTCCAGGAGTACATAGAGGCTGAAGGACTGAAACCTGAACAAGTGTTCAATTGTGACGAAACAGGCCTTTTCTGGAAGAAAATGCCAAAGAGGACCTTCATTACACAAGAGGAAAAGTCAATGCCAGGACACAAGCCTATGAAAGACAGGCTGACGCTAATGTTCTGTGCTAATGCTAGTGGGGATTTCAAAGTGAAGCCATTACTAGTGTACCATTCTGAAAATCCCAGAGCATTAAAGAAAAATAATGTTATGAAGAGTAAATTGTGTGTGTTTTGGAAATCTAATAATAAGGCATGGGTCACGAGGGAAATTTTTGTAGAGTGGTTCAACGAAGTGTTTGGCCCTAGTGTGAAGAATTACCTCCTGGAGAAGAAATTGGATCTCAAGTGCCTGCTAGTAATGGACAATGCACCTGCTCATCCACCAAACTTGGATGACCTAATTCTGAAGGAGTTTGGGTTCATCTCAGTAAAGTTCTTGCCCCCGAATACCACTCCTCTCCTCCAACCCATGGACCAGCAGGTCATTGCAAACTTTAAAAAACTGTACACCAAAGCAATGTTTGAAAGGTGCTTCAATGTGACCTCAGACACTCACTTGACCCTACGAGATTTTTGGAAAGAACATTTCAGTATTTTCCATTGTGTAAGCCTTATAGGTAAGGCTTGGGAGGGAGTGTCTACCAGGACTTTGAACTCTGCTTGGAGAAAATTGTGGCCAGATTGTGTCGACAAGAGGGATTTGGAAGGGTTTGGGGCTGACCCTGATGAGCCTATGTCAGTTTTGAACTCTATTGTGGCACTGGGGAGTTCCATGGGGTTGGATGTGAGTTTGGAGGATGTGGAAGAGTTGGTGGAGGACCACAACGAAGAGCTAACCACTGAGGAGCTGCAAGAGCTTCAGCAGGAAGAGCAACAGATCGCAGCTCAGAATCTTGCTGCAGAGGAGGAGGAAGAGAGATGGAAGAAGGTGCCTTCTTCAGAAATTAAGGAGATTTTTACTGTGTGGGGTAAGATGGAAAGATTTATGGAGAAACATCACCCAGAGAAGGATGTTGCAAGCCATATCGGCAACTTGTACAGAGACAGAGTCTTGGCCCATTTTAGGGAAGTTTTAAAGAGACGCCAGAAACAGAGCTCTCTGCACAGTTATTTTGCGAGACAGGACTCCAGTGACTCTCAAGCTGGTCCTAGTGGCATTAAGAAACAGAGAAAAGAAGCAACCCCAGAAAAGCAAATGGTACCTGAGGTGTTGCTGGAAGGGGATTCCCCTTCCAAACTATAAACAATCCACTCTCTCCTCCTCCTCCAGTCTCCCATACACTAAGAAGAATCTCCAATAAAGGTAAGTGTTATGCTGTTAATGTTTCATTCATCATTTCCCATTGTATTGTTTATGTACTACATGAATATTTCATGTAAAAAATTTTTGTTTTAATACTTCTGGGTGTCAGGAACGGATTAATTGAATTTACATTATTTCTTATGGGGAAAATTGATTCGTAAATCGACCATTTCGATAATCGACCGGCTTCCAGGAACGGATTACCGTCGATAATCGAGGGACCACTGTATGTTAAACAACCATGGTGATATTACACATCCCTGTCTAAGACGTACTTTTACCGGGAAGTAATCTCCCTTTCTCCTACACACCCTAACCTGAGCCTCGCTATCCTCATCAAAACTCTTTACACCATTTAGTAACTTTCTACCTATTCCATACACTTGCAAAGTCTGTCACATTGCTCCCCTATCCACTCTATCATATTCCTTATCTAAAACAATAAAGGCAATGAAAACTTCCCTACCTTTATCTAAATACTGTTCACATATATGCTTCAATGTAAACACTTGATCTACACATCCCTTACCCCCTCTTAATCCTTCTTGTTCATCTGTCTTACCTCTGGTATGTGGATGGTAATAATAGCTGTGCGCCGCAGTGTAGGTAGCCGGTAGGTGTAGCCCAGGCTGCCTATAGGCCACGTACACTGACTTCCTACAAATAAATTTTGCTCACTTCTTGCCCTACATTAAGACTACAAATATTTTAAGGTAAGTAATGAATGTACTGTGTATGTCTTTTACTTTCTATTGTGTTTTTTAATGCTTAATTTTATTACTAAATAAAAGTTAGTGTAAACTTGACAATCCTACACCTGTTGTGGAATCTATAGTGGCTTTGGGGAAGTCCATGGGGTTGGATGTGAGTGGCCAGGATGTGGAAGAGTTGGTGGACGACCACAGGGAAGAGCTAACCACTGATTAGCTTCAACACTATAGGTCTTTCTTTCTTTCAACACACCGGCCGTATCCCACCGAGGCAGGGTGGCCCAAAAAGAAAAACAAAAGTTTCTCTTTTTTTAAATTTAGTAATTTATACAGAAGGGGTTACTAACCCCTTGCTCCCGGTATTTTAGTCGCCTCTTACAACACGCATGGCTTACGGACGAAGAATTCTGTTCCACTTCCCCATGGAGATAAGAGGAATTAAACAAGAATTAGAAAGAAAATAGCAGAAAGCCCAGAGGGGTATGTGTGTACAGTGGACCCCCGCATAGCGACTTTAATCCGTGCAAGAGGGCTGATTGTTATGCG